GAGGCGGGCGCCTTCGCGCACAACCCGGCGCTGGACACGGTGTTGCTGGAGGAGAACCCGAGCCTGGCGGCGCTGCCGCGCGAGCTCTGCCTGCGCCTGCCACTGTTGCGCCGGCTCAGCCTGCACGCTAACGCGCTCACTTCGCTGCCAGCCGACGCGGCGGACTGGACGCGCGTGCACGCGGATCTCAGCGGCAACCCCTGGCGCTGCGACTGTAAGTTGCGCTGGCTGGCGCAGCTGCCAGCCGCCGCCAACGCGAGTGGCGCCATCTGCGCTGCGCCGGCGGCGCTGCGCGGCCGCCTCGTGCGCGACGTGGCGCCGGACGAGCTGGACTGCGGCGGTGCTGAGGCCAGCTCGCTAGCGCTCATCGTGGGCTTGAGTGTGGCGGCGGCCCTACTGCTGCTGCTCGCCGTGCTGCTCTGCTACCGCTACCGGCACCGGCTGCACAAGATGTTCAAGGTGCTGCCGTGGCGCGACCGGGTCGGGCTGAAGCGGAAGGAGCCGTACCACCACGGCACCACCTACTACTGCCATGACATGTATGACCCGATCCACCCGCGGGACAGCAAGCCCATCCCCGTCACCGAGTTGTGATCGCGTCGCCGCGCCCGCGGCTGCCGGTAGAGTAGTGCTAGTTACCAAAGACAGGGTGACCGCGGCCGGTCCCTCGATTGGTGGCGGTGCGTGTTGGAGGTTGGATCGCTCAGTGGCCTATGAGGGGTTGACGTGACGGTGGTGCTGGAGTGAGGCCACACGACCGCCGGTGGGCCACGAAGTCAAGCATATCATCTGTGTTGAGCGCTGTTTGGCGGGGGTGCCGCGTCAGCTGCCTCTGAGGCTGCTCTGGTGCCGCCAGCAGACTGTGAGGCTGTTGCGGCGCCGTCAGCTGTGTATGGGGCTACTGCGGCGCCGTCAGTCGTCTGTGAAGCTGCTGTGGTGACGCCAGCTATCAGGCTGCCGTGGTGTCGTCAGCTGTCAGTGAGGCTGCTGCGGCGCCGTCAGCTGTGTATGGAGCTACTGCGGCGCCGTCAGCCGTCTGTGAAGCTGCTGTGGTGACGCCAGCTATCAGGCTGCCGTGGTGTCGTCATCTGTCAGTGAGGCTGCTGCGGCGCCGTCAGCTGTGCATGGGGCTACTGCGGCGCCGTCAGCCGTCTGTCAGGCTGCTGTGGTGACGCCAGCTGTCAGGCTGCCGTGGTGTCGTCAGCTGTCAGTGAGGCTGCTGCGGCGCCGTCAGCTGTGTATGGGGCTACTGCGGCGCCGTCAGCCGTCCGTCAGGCTGCTGTGGTGACGCCAGCTATCAGGCTGCCGTGGTGTCGTCAGCTGTCAGTGAGGCGGCTGCGGTACCGTCAGCTGTCGGGCTGCTGTGGCGTCGCAGCATTTCGCCTCACTGTACGGTCGACGCTTGGCCACCTCCTCCTTTCATGCGAGTCAGGTGACGCGAGCTCCGCGTGGCGAGGTGCCTGCGCGCGGGCACCGCGGCGGGGGCGCACGGCCCTCCGTAGATGCTAGTCTTCCCTCGGTCGTGGTTTTCGCGCACGTCGCGTCGGCATTGTTGCGGAAAGTTGATGGCCTCGAACAGTGAGCGTGCTTCAGCTGCCTTTGCTCCAGCATGTGTTGCGCCTAGTTTAGTGTCGTACCCGTTTTACCACAAGTGATTGAAAACGCGTTATCAATCATGCGTAATCCTTGGAAGCGTCATTTTTTAACGCAGTTATAACTAGCTGCAGCCGAATATGGACGTTGCGTGCCTCACGCACCCAAGCTGTCACGGCTATGCAGAGGAGTGACCTTTGTTGCCGGTAATCCTGGTTTGGATATTATCAGATCGCGCAGACTTGACGTGATTTTGAGTGCGGAGCCGAGCGCCTCAGTCTGCGCCTGCCGCCGCCGCGCCTGCTCAGGGCTACTGGCAGCTTCCCGGCGCGGCGCGCTCTAGTCGTCGGTCGGCGCCGTCCGTTCGCCGGCCTCCGGCTTCTCCGGTGCAGCCGCAGGATAAAAGGCGCCCGTCCGCTTTCTGTTGCCGCAGCCGTGAGCGTTTGTTTTTGTTATGATGCATTCCAGTTTCAATGGGGTGGCAGCGTGCCATTCGCCAGGCTGCCTGGCGGGACCGCCAGGCGCTCGGCCCCCCTCTATCAGCACAGAGGCGAACTGCGCCGGTGCAGTCGGCCCTCTGAGTAGTCGAAAGACGTCGGCGACCGTGGCCTGGCTTCAGACTCGCCTTCGGCCTTCGTCATGGGCTTCAGCGGTTTTATGCTGGCAGCGGTTGTCGAGCCCAAATCACTTCATCTATGCAAAATGTACATATTGCTGTGCGGAGCTCGTGGGGATTGAGGTGATGTGAACGTGCGCAACAGAGGCGTGCACCCCGAGTCCGCGTTTTGATGCTCCCGTTTGTCCGTCGTCTTCGACCGCTTTCGATTCTGGTAAGATGCTTCGTATGTTCCGGTATGTGCCAAGCCTGTCATGACCACGTATTTGCATATTACAGTGAGTTACATTGTGATGCGTTTCCGTTGCAGCTGTTGTGAGCTGTCCCCCGGTTCATCAGTCAGGTTGAGCTTCTGACTGAAGCGGAGCTGGAGCTATCACTTTTGTCCCTGCATGCCCGTAAAGTGGGAGCAAAAATCCCGCAGGGTTAACAACGGGTGCTGCCGGTACAACTGTGGGTCTCGAGGAAAATGAAGCCTAGAAAAATGGCCCACTAGTAAATCAATTTTCAGACCATGAAGCGTCAACAAAGTTTTACGTCACTTGCCAAGCCGGGCAATTTAATAACAAAAAGCAATATTATGCAATGCAGAACTACCCATGCATTTGTTGGCAGTTGGCTAATGGACGGCAGTACGCTATCAATAGCATGGCACAGTAATAGTGAACATGCTAATCAATACTTACAATAAACACCAAAACAGGCTTTATTCGTTATGAAACTGATGCTTTACGCTACAACCATAAATACGTGGTTTGTGACGTGGGATGACGAAACGTATCAATGGAAGGTAGCACGTCGCCGATGACAGAAGTGATAACGAATGTATGTTCAGTGAATACATGCACTATTTTAAGACTAGATTGAAATTCATAGACATAGGCATGAAATTACATCGGGATAAAAGACTATCAAGCACTAAGGGCCCTTGCGCAACGCTCACCGCCTGTCGTTGATTTTCAGTCAGATCATTTGAGAGAATCATTGTCTTTGGAGCGCTAACCACTTACCTTATTCAGCTCACTTACCTCTTACTCGCTTCCTTTTTAAACACGCTCGCGGGTAGGGGTCAAACTGAGCCCCCCGAAGGTTTTTCTAGAGCGATTCTCGAGCGTCGCGGCATAGCCGCGCCAAAATTTTCATAGCCGTAGGGAATTGGATAGCGGATCATTCCATGTTAATAAATAAGAGACACCGTGTGAGGTCGCTGACCTGTGACAGGTCAAAGTCAAGCCATGACTGTCAGCGAAGTCATTTATAGGGAATCATTCAATGTGATGGAATAACGGAGTGTTTGACGAAGCCAGACATATCTGAGATAGCTTCTTAGGCAGTAAACCAGCAAGGTAAATGGTTTCACGGCGGTTGTATGGGGAGTTCTGTAGGCACTGAAACACCAATCTGGATTTTGACCTTGCTTGACCTTATTTGACCCCAAGGTCATGATCTAGGAGCCTATAATTTTGACACAAGTGAGTTCACGTACAGATAAAGCTAGGGCTAGAGATCTCAATGGGTCAAATTGACCCCTACCCGAACGACAGGTAGTCAGCCGATCACCCGGGCGCGTGTCAATCGACGTATTTAAAATGGAAACAACGGGGATTGTGCTAGGGCTATCGCACCGCTGCGATATGACTGAAGCCAATTCAAAGTTTGTTGGCATATCTTATATTTCCTTTTTCCTCCGGACCAGAGTATAAAAGAAGTTTTTCAACATTTGTATGGGATTTTGACCGAAATGACTATCTTTAGATCATTCGGTGCGGTTCACAGTCCTGCCCCTCTTTAAACCTAAAGCCCCCTTGTTCGTGGGCTACACGCCCGTGAAAATGTGCAGATCATTTCGTGCAATAACCGAAAGTGTGAATGCGAGTCGTCACGTTAACATCACGGATAAATTTGCAAGAATATGCGAGAAAAAGTCCACTACGATCCCAGAACGATAACTGCTTCATCAAACACGTCCAGTACAGCCAATGGTATCTCTTGGCAAGTTTAGGTACTACAAGTGGGTGTTCAAGCGACAACTCCGCACGGCCAGACTAACATTACCTTAAACGTCATTTGAACGTTCTATGACGCAATCAAACAATGGCACGCTGAGGATTACATTTATTAGGTCGGGAAATGGTATTGATGAGAGTAGTCTTTTCCACTTCAAGCATACTAGCAGTTACAAGTGAGCATGTTTCATCATGTCTGATGATTGCTTCACTATCTACAAATGTGCAGCATTCTCTTCAAGTCCATGAAAACATGCATATATTTCCGTGCATGTTATCTTCCATGATGTGTGACCGGTGCAGAAGTCTATGCAATTATAAGTTTGTTTGTATGATAACCTGTACAAAATAAGCCCTGAAAATGAGCGGTGGTCAACGTGAGTGGGATAAACACGCATTTCGGTGGAGGTAGGCAATCATCACCTCTACTCGGCTCCTCCAGTCTCTATACACAGTAAGGATCCCGTCACGCCATGCTACAACACGGCCACCCTGCAGCGAGATGACCCCCTGTGGCCAGGTAACAGGCCACGATCACTACATACCTAATGTTCAGAACTCGGAGCTAGCAATCCGCTTACGAAGAGACAAACTCGGTGCTACGGAACACAAGTCATCGAATTATCTTCTAACCACGTGGTCGGCATTCTGGTGATGAATCGTCTTCTGCTACAAATTTTGTGCTGCACAAGTGTTGAAACACCGTTTGATGCTTTTGATGTCTATGCATCTGCATTATTGTCCACATAGGTCTCGTAATTTTCTGAAAAAAATGGAGGCAGAACGATGCCTCTGTGGCTGCAGATAAACTTGACGATTTTCTGCCCAACAATCGACGACACGAATGTTTCACACAATGGGACGTAGTAGTTGAGCGATTAGGACGGCGGGCTTCTACGTGGGGGCCCCCGAGTTCTTTCTGTAGTTTTGCCATGGTCCCTGAGCGCTAATATGGTCAATGCAATGACTGGCGCGACATGCGACGTGACCGCGTGTATCGAGCTCCTTGTTGTTAAAAAGGCCACTTAAGACCTGGCGGCCCTGTCCTGTAGGCGGGGGCCAAGCCTCACTGGCGCGGCCACGTCAGATGGGCTGGAAGGGGTGCGGCGGCGCCCGGCGGCGTCCCCTTCGTCCGCGCCGCCGGGCTTTCACCGCCAACCAGCCGGACTATCGGAGTCGATGGCTATTTGCCCGCTATCGGCCCTGCCTGCGGCGGCCTTATCGGGCCCCATTGTCGCCGCTGAAAGCAACGGCCGTGCGCTGCCAGTTACCGCAGCGTTGCAGGGGACCCCGGATGTGTGTGTTAGGGGGGGGGGGGGGGAGTCCCGACGTCGCAGCAAACCTAGGGAACAGCGGCGGGGCACGTCCGTTCCGCGCCACACCACATCATGAGCAACAGAGTGTCGTGGCAATGAATGAGGCCATGTCGAGTAAACACTATTTTTTCTCCTGTGCCCACCCTGTTTCCACTGACGCTCCTTGCCGGTCGATACACGTGATGGCGTGCTGGAGAGTGCCGCGGACGGCGACGCCCTCTAGATCCGCGCCAGCCGCAGTACCTCGACTAACATCTTTAGCTGTTGGGGAGAGGTGAGCGCACACCTCCGCACATCTGAGAGCTCCACCGACCGAAAATAGCCGTCTTAAGGTGACAAGCCGGGGTTTGGGGCCGGCCAGGGACGCTCTGTCAGCCGACTGCTTACTCAGCCACCGAGCTTGTCTTTCAGCCAGGCTCGAGCAGGGGCCGTTGGGCGTATTAACGCGCCACCCTGGCGGAACCAGTGCAATGGCGCGTGGCGTCAGCCGTCTGGTCACAACTTGCGTAGAGAAGCTGAATGAAGGCCGTTCCGTTCGCGGTCTGGTCAAGTAATGTTAGATGTGACCAATTTCAATTTTTTTCCGAACCAGTACTGATGTATGTATGATGTAAAATGTATGTGATGTACATGTAAAATGTACATGATGTATGATGTAAAAGCCACGCATGTAGGCTTTTTGTCCCAAATCTTAATGTTTTAGCTCTGAGTCCGAACATTATCTGACTTTCTGGACGGGTGATAGCGCGTTAGCACTTCGCGTTTTCTGCATATTTAATTCCCTTAATTTGTTTGTTAATGCACTTAAAAGTTGTGTGAGATGCATCAAAACATATTGGTCAGGATCCCAACAAAATACCATCGATCATGTGCTGAAAAAATCTTAAGGGAGTATTCCAAATTTGTATGCGTTTTGAACAGAAATAGCCATCCTGAAAATGCTTTGGTGCAGTTCACAGCATTGCCCTTCTTAACCCGACATTGACTGGGCTCCCCAGCGGTACACCATTGACCAGATGGTAGCAGATTTGACTACCACGCCCCCTGCTTTTCTCATAGGGGCTGCACCGAATTTAAAAATTCAAACTGCAATCGATAGCACAATGGTGTGCGGTCCCAGAACACGCAGAAAACTCAAGTTTAAGTGTAGTTTAAGGTCACAGATCAAGATTAAATGCTTAAAATGTTTCTTTGAAATATCTGACCACTTCCACAGCGTATTTAATGTGGAAGCGTATCTCCTGGTGTGAAATCACTGCGCCCTGATCAGACATGCTACATTCGAATCTAATGCCATCCACACCGTACGGGGCCTTAAGCCAAGGTCACGTACCGTGCAAATGAGAGCTGAAACTTTAGTGCACATGTCTATTTTGATTTATTCATTTCCGTCACACTTGAACTAACTAAACACAAAGTGGGAGAGCTTAGCCGCAAATGCGGGTATTAAACACGTGGGCAAAGGCTGCTACTTATTCATAAACCGTGTAAGGTCAAGGTCAACTGGATGACCGGCTTGGTGAATAAGCGTTCGGATCGATCCTTGCGTTGTTTTCGACGGTTTAGTCCTGCCGACAGCGCAACCTAATGCCCTTCAACCCCGCCGCCAGTCGCGTGGTCGTCCGTTTGCGTGCGAAACTGGTTAGCGGCTTCAAACCGCCCCGTCACTGCGCTGCTACGGTAGACCCGAGCTTCGCTGCCGACGGTCCGGGCCTACCCGGCCAGGGAAAACACGCGCTGCTGCGGCAGACCTGAGCCCCGCCGCCGCCACCGGCCCGGGCCTACCCGGCCAGGGAAAACACGTGCTGCTGCGGCAGACCTGAGCCCCGCCGCCGCCGCCGGCCCGGGCCTACCCGGCCAGGGAAAACACGCGCTGCTGCGGCAGACCTGAGCCCCGCCGCCGCCACCGGCCCGGGCCTACCCGGCCAGGGAAAACACGTGCTGCTGCGGCAGACCTGAGCCCCGCCGC